GTTACTACTGCCCAAGTGCAGCACCCTGCACTTGTCAGTATTGAAGCGCATCCTGTTTTTGTTAGCTCACCCTTGTAACCTATCCAGGTCTTGCTACAGTCTTTCCCTCTCTACTAGCGTGCTCATCTCACCCCAAATTTTGGTATCATCAGCGAATTTAAACAGGTTGCTTTTCACCCTGTCGTCCAAATTGCTGATAAAGAGATTGAAGAGCATGGGCCCAAGGACCGAGCCCTGGGGGACTCCGTTGCCCACTTCCCCCCAGGTTGAATATGACCCGTCCACCACCACCCTCTGAGTACAACCCTTGAGCCAATCTGCAATCCATCTGACTGTGTAGGCATCAATGCCACAGTCGCCTAATTTTTTAATGAGAATGGGGTGGGAGATGGTGTCAAAGGCCTTGCTGAAGTTCTGACATACCCTATAGCCTAATGGCTTGGACACTCGTCTGGGGAGCAGGCATGCAGATTTACATCTCCATAAGGAGAGCAGGGAACTGAACTTTATTTCCTATGCGCTGGGTGAATTTCCTGACCTCTGGCTTATTGGGAGAAGGCAAGAAAGCTCCTTCTTCAGACATGTTCTCCAAACCTGGTCCTTCAGTGCCTTGGCTTTTATTACAAGTGTTTGAGGAAAACAAGGAAGGAAGACTCCATTCAACCCAAAACCTGTTGGTTTTGTTGGGTTGGGTTGGTTTTTTTCGGGACGGGGGAGGACAGAGATGGTGGGAGAGAACTTAACACTCAATTACTTGCACAGCCCAAATGGCAAAAGCCACTAAGCTAGACAAGTCCCGAGACCACTTGTACTTTCATTCCCCTGAGCCCCCAATAACCCCAGGGGGTCTTGCCCCACCAGGGATGGTGGAGAACTGCACCACCATGGCCTTAGCCCACCACAGAGCACCCACTCTGCCACCACAGAGGCAGTACAGCCCTGGTGAGACATCTTGCTGCACTGAGGGAATTCACTCAAGCTGGATGTCCACCTTTACACCAGCCTGTCTGGTCCCCTGCACTGCAGCCCCCTGCTGATCCCCTGCACTGCAGCCCTGCACTGGCTGCTGTGAAGGGGTCCAAGGCCATCTTAGCAGAGGAGTCTTTTTTCCTAAATGAAAACTACTAGCTCAGATACTCACTGTCTCCTCTTCCCTATTGCAAATCTCAAGATACAGTCAACAAAGAAAGCTGAATGGGAGTCACAATAGCAGAGGACAAAGCAAGCTCCTTCAGGCAGGGGCTGTCCCACTAGCTGTGTATGGCACCTGGCTCTTCTCTGCTTGCACCTTCACCACCCCATCTGGCAGCAGTCTTGTCACAGTCTGGGGAAAGCCTTGGGGCTATAATTACAGTAGTAAACGCAGCTTCTTTCATCCAATCCCTAGTGACAGAGGGGCATGGAGAGGTGGATATTAAGTTACACCTGAACTGCAGTCATTGTGAGCTGGATGAGTGCCGGGTTGATCTGGAGACTCAGAAAGTGATTTGCTTCTGCGAGCCTGGGACAGACTTGGCTGAGGATGGTGTCTCTTGCATAGGTAAGAAGGTGAAGGTGAGACAAAGGGTTTTTTGTGGCCTGCTCATGGCTTGCAGAGCTGATTTTGTGGGTGTTTCATGGTGGTCACACCCCTCGGTGCTGATTGGTGGAGAGGCCCTACCCCTCAGCACTGATTGGCAGAGAGGCCTGGGGAGGAGGAGGGACAAGGGGCGGCCGCTATCTTGATTGCTGGCTGCCCTTTGAGCCACCCTGCCCCTCGGTGTTGATTGGCAGAGAGGCCCAGGCAGGACGATCTTGTTTGCTGCCCTTTGTGCCACCCCACCAGCTGGCGCCTTCCCCTCCCAGGTGCAAAGATCACTGGCTCCCACTGGGGAAGCCGGCATTTTATTTTTATTATGGTTTTTTTGTTGATTTCATGGGATTTCACAGACAGTCCTGGATTTTGTGGTTTCAGCAATAAATGTGGATTAAGTAGGTCCCTATGCATGATTAAAGCTTCTCTAATTTGCACTGCAAGGTGGCACAAGAGCCCTAGGTAGCCTGTCTTTCAAAGATGATCCTTACAGATCACAATCCCCTTTGCTGTAGGCATTTGCTGCAAAGATATTTGGTTTCTAATGAACAACAGAAGACAGTTTTCAGCCAAAAGATGGTGCTGTAGTGATCAGGGGTCCGCAAGCCAGCACTGGTGCTTTCCTCTGCTGTACATATGGGACATTTAGCAGCCATGAAGTGACATTTTGTACTAAGGGACCAAGATGTGTGAGCAGGATGTCTAATGCACACCAACCAGAATTTTCTAATCATCCCTGAGCTCAGGTCTCTGGAGAGCCAGCTGTAAACAATCAGGGGGTTGAGGCAGAGGGAGGGGGGGACGTAATCATAAAATGCAGCTTGCGATGGGTAAAATCTACCTGCATAATGAGTGAGGGAGCCCAGCAAGAGAAAAGCAAGGGGAATCCCAGTCTGACATTTATTCAGAGAGCCAAATGCAAAGCAGAGGCAAGCCGGTTGGTATCCATTTGTCCTGTTCACCCTCAGTGCTCCAGTATGGGGTTTTGCCTTTCTGTATCTGTGTCCAGCAATCTCGACTCAGTAATCGACTCTGAGCCTGAGGTCCCAGACCCTGCTCCCAACTCTGCCACTGACTTGGGAAAGTTGCTAACCCTCTTTTTGTTTCAGTACTGCTATCTGTAAACTGGGGATAAAGCTACTTCTTTACTGGGGTATGCTGAAAGAGCTTTAATTGACTGATCTGTGTTGGGAAGATGCTCCAAAGTGAGCCTGTAGCCATAGAGTATGGTTCTCCATGCACACCGTCATCTATTTTTCTGCTGCCTGAGATGAGATGAATTTAGCTGATGATATACTGTTGCTCTCCTCCTGTTTTTGCTGTGACTTAGCATTGATGGCAGCCCACAGCAATTTAGCATTCTTCCCCCTGCGCACACCCACCTTCTCCCCCGCTCCCCCCCGATTTTATGGCCTTGTTTTCACATGGAGCGGGTGCACATGTTAATTTCCTGACAGAAAACCATCTGTTTTAATGCCTTGAACTTAATTGAGGAAAGTGAAACAATGAGCCATTGGAGGTCACAAATCTGGGAGTCACTTATGGCAGAGGTACTCCTACAGCACACGAGCGACAGATAGAGCAAATAGAAGGAGGAGCAGAAAAAACATATTGCAAAAAATTGGTGACAATCAAAACAAGCCTTTTAAATCCCTAACTCTCTTTTTTCTCTCATGCATCTTTCAGCAGGCCCAGGAGTTCATCTCCCCCTCTCCTTGGTCTTGTCTGTAGTGACTTCAGCCCTGGTTGCTGCCCTCATTCTGGCTTTTTCAGGGATCATGATAGGTGAGTGTCTCCAAAAACAAAATGTGTTCAGATCAGCAAAAAGTTACAGCATGTGCTACTTCCTACATGAGCCACAAACCACTGCATTATAACTCAAGCTTCCAGCTTTATCGGCTTTTAATATGAATTTAGTTGTTTTGGGGTTTTTGACAAATATTTTTAACCAAAATGATCAATTTTGAAGACATTTTTCCTCGCTAAAAAAAAAGTGAAGAAGGAAAGGGTTTTTTGGGTTTTTTTGTTGAAGCATATATTATAGTTTTTTTTATATTTCAGCAGCTGTCAAGTACGGGTATAAATGGAGAAGCCAGGTACCTTAATCGAAATACTGACAGTCTTCCTCTCTACTAGCTGGTTGCAAGGTCGTTACAGTGACTGACTACAGCAGTGTGATATTTCTTATGACTGCATCTTTAAAGAGACGTACTGAATGGTTTGGGGTTGAAAAACATCAGAGCACAACTTCCAACCTCACTGACTTTAACGAGAGCTGTGGGCACAGAACACCTTGAAAGAATTGAGCCTCTTACTTTAATGACCCATCATATGGATTTAGGTGTCCAGGTTCTGAAAGCCAAGCTTGAAAAACCTTGGTCTATATTCCAGTGCCACGAATCATGAGGCAGTAAGATATAGATATTCCAGGCCTTTTTTATAGAATTTCAATTAAGGTTTTATTTTTTTATATGAACAAGCCACCTGCCTACATTATGACTCCAAGCATCAGGATTGTGATAGCGTGTGACAGCCAGTGATTGTGTCTAGTCAATCTTTTTTCTCTGGGTGAAATGTTTGAAAAAAACCCAAAGGAAACATGGCAAATAGTAAATTAGGTTTGTGCAGTTTATTTCAGTTTTGAGAATTTCAGGAGTTATCAGTAGCACACATCCCTGATTTTTTATGTCCTGACAGTGTCCCTTTAAAAAAGATCTAATTACTTTTTATGGAGCACAAGAATAGTCCCATTTCTTTCTGACCATCCCTATCATTCCCAACTCAGGGATGAGCTCAGATCTGAGAAATCAAAGCAAGAGCTTTGGTGAAGGGAAAGAACTGAAAGAGCCTGATGATAGGCCATTCAATCCATGTTTCTAGTGCATGTTAACCCCATCTCTTCTCTTGAGCAACTTATCTATTAGAGTAGATATGATGTCTACTATGGACAGTCTTTGGGCCCAGTCTGGCTCCCATGGAAATCAGTAGCAAAACTATTATTGATTTAACCCACTCATGACTGGGACTCTGCTTTGGAAACTTCTGTGTTCCAGATCATTTATGTTTTCAAAGTAACTTTAGCAGCCTGACTGTCTGTGGTGAATGATTTATGTGTGAAGCTAGGTGAACTTATTTGAAAACTGATTCTCAGAGCTCCCCACCCCCTAAATTCAAACCATGTCTGAGGTTTAGAAACATTTGATTACATGAGTGGATTTATTGTAAACACTTTCTTTTCACTCCCTCTTGATTCCCTTCCTATTTTTGTCCAGAACTAGGGGATCAAGAGGGAGTCTTATAAAATGAAGTCCTTTTATTAACACAGCTTCACTGTGGAGGGAAGCTTTGCTTTACTTAGAATATCATTCTCAACACTGTGACAATGGGATGCAGTGGAACTATTCAGGACTTCTTCTTGAAATAGGGATGGTGTGTTTAAGCAGAAACCCTGCATGTGAACACCTTTGAGCTTGGGGGAAGCTGGATCTAGATCTACACATTGAAGTTCAGGCTCATCTCTGATCAGACAGGTTTGTTTTGTATCAGAGAGGTGTAGCTATAGGTGTATTTCACCCTGTCCTTCAAACCAAGAAGCACTGGAAGTCTCATGCTTGAGTCAGTTCTGAGCCGGATTTCTGAACCAAATGAGATCAAATAAATTCCAATTTCCTGCATGTACTTAGTCAAAGGAGAGAAACCTACCAAAAGCCTCGACTTTTTCAATTCACTGGATTTTGAAGACTCTACTGAATTCATAACACATACATTCTGCACTGGCAGAGAGAGGGATTACCTTCGTGTTCAAAGAGCAATCTGTGCCACTAATTCATTCTACTCTATTTCTAGTGTATCGCCGGAAGCACCAGGAGCTGCAAGCCATGCAAATGGAATTACAGAGTCCTGAATACAAACTCAGCAAACTGCGTACCTCCACCATTATGACAGACTACAATCCCAACTATTGTTTTGCAGGCAAGACTACCTCCATCAGTGACCTCAAAGAGGTGCCTCGGAAAAATATCTCCCTCATAAGGTAAACTCATCCACTTGCTTTCCCCATGCTTCACGTCATGCACCCAATCTCTTACAGTACGTGCACTTTCTCTCACATGCACAGAAGCACCCACTCATTCTTATATCCATTCCTATTTTCAAGCACACAAAAGCATGATGGCAGTTAGGGAGGTATTCTGGAGTTACTACATGACCATTGTAGGGCTAGACTTTGGCTGGATTATTTTATCCTTTCACAGGTGCAACCTTCATCTTCTGCTTTGTCAGAGAATTCAGCTGTTATAAAGCCCAGCAAGTCCAGCACCTTCCCTCTAGGCTCTTGATTACCCCTATGGAATGGCTCCTTTGCAGTTGGTCCAGTAAAAGATGTCATCCATAGAAATTCTTGCTTCTCCTCTGTTTTATGCCAGGTAGTAACTGAGGAAATACAGGGAGGCATGAAGCTTGCAGAAGGTTCTTTAAAAGTGTCTGACTGAATTTCTGGCAATGAGAGTGACATCAGCAATGGCAACAGCACCAGTGGGTGATGAGAGGCCAGGCCATAGAGTTAGGACTAGAGAAGCCAGCAACAGGGAAGGCCACGTACCATATTCTACATGGTCTGTGGGAGTTTGGGATGGCAGCGGGGCAGGTCTCAGAAAGACATGCCCCTACTCACCAACCAGAGGCTATGTATGACACTACATTTATGTCATGTTGTCTCATGTACAAAGCCAAGAAGAAAAGACTCAGAAGCAGGAGAGCTTGGGCTAGTCAGGAGTTTTTATTTTGAAGATGAAGTCCACAGCATCCAAACCATTCCACATTATATTGCAGGCTCCAGTATCTAACTGGATTTCTGATGAAGCAGAGTAGTGCTCTGCTACTGTGCCTAATATGCCCTCAGCTCACCAAGCAGCAGTTAGGACTTCCTGATACAATATAGAGTGTTTTGATGTTGTCTTTGGGCTGTGAGAGGATTACTGAATGTGACTCAAGCCACAGAGCAAAGGAGACAGCTAGGAATTGATGGGGAGAAGAGGAGATTATGAGCTGTGGAGATCTGTTTTATATCCCTATTTCACAAAGGGTGGGTCAGCACTGCAGAGAACAATGTTTCAGGCTGACATTATCTGCAGTAATTTACAGCTGCAGTCAAGCCGTTGGTGATTTGACTCTGCATTGTGGCTCCACTGCCTAGACTGTGGTCTGACAAACAGAGAAAGCAACACTGTTTCCCCTGGCCAGGAGTAAAACCATTGGTACAGCATGTGGACTTCCCACATAGCCCTCATGGAATGTGCCTTAACTTTGTCTTGCAAGGACCACCACTAAGGGCTCAGTGTTCATGGCATCCCTGCTGAGACTGTCCACAGCAAGGCTAATGAGAAGCGAGAGGCAGTTGTCATTTCTTTGAAACATAGACCACCCAACAACCAGAAGACTGGCCAGCGTCTAGACCAGGTTCAAACTAGTCCCAAGTTTGAAAGGAATAGCTCTGCTTCCTGTTATGGAAGAGCCCATAGAGTAAGTGTACTCTGGATCAGTGTTGAAGGACAGAAGCATCAGCAGGAGATTTGCACTGCTGGAGCTTAAAGTGTATCCATCTGTGAACAAAAGGGGATTCCCTTATATTGCTTGACTATGTCACTGTACTAGAAACCTGAGCCCACAACATGATGTGGCTGTTACTGCACAGATCATTTTAAAGTTAATTGCCTGAAGGCCGAATAAGCAGTGACACAAGATTATGTGTGAAGCACATAGGAAAGAATCTGTGTTAACAGGATGTATGATTTCTTTTCTTTCTGTATTCTTCTGTCAGGAGCCTTAAAGCCTTCTTTTGTAATATATTACCATCTAAAGCAGGGGGTTTCAACCTTCTTCAATCATTGTACCCCCAGGCGGTCAGACACAAAGCAGTGTACCCCTGGCCACTGAGTGCTGGGGGGGAGGTAGTGCGTGACCAGATGGGAGGTAACTGGGCGGACAGCACCTGCATGGCAGCACAGGACAGTGTGTGGCGGCGCTCCATCCCTGTCTTCTTGCATGTACCCCTTAGGGCCTTCTCAAGTACCCCAGGGATACGCGTACCCCTGGTTGACACCCCCTGATCTAAAGTATCCAGGCTGTGTGTTTGCATAACACTTTTCATGCAGGGAGTAGAGCAGGGGCTGGCAAAATATGGCCTGTGAGCTGCATCTGGCCTGCCAACCACTTTCATCCAGCCCTTGGGGGGCCCCCAACATATTGTGCCATGTCCAACCCTTCTGCTCACAGGGGTGGGAGCAAGGCACCCACATGTACACACAGCCCCAAAAATATACCCTATTGCCTCACTCTCACCCTCATGAGCGGAAGGGCCCGGCTGGCCAGCATGCAATTTCCTTGTGGGGCTGCTGCTGCCACAGCCCCCGGGACCTGCTCACTTCCCTGGTCTGCTGGCTCCAGGCAGCAGGGAGGGAAGCAGCGGGGGCAGGGCTGCAACTGGGAGGGAGCACAGAGCGTGAGGCTGAGGGCAGCGTGGAGCCTAAGCCCAGGGGGACAGGGGGCAGCAGCAGTGCAGAGCTGGGGTGGGAAGCATGTGGGTGTGAGGGAAAGTGGGGTGAGTGGGGACCCCCCACCCCTGTGGTGTGCAGCCCCAGCCGGCGGTAGCAGCAGCAGGCAGGGTGCTCAGAGCACAGGCACCTAGTAGGGCACAGCTCTGGCCAGCACTGCACAGCACAGTGAGGGGTGCAGCCTCTGCGCAGCTGCCTGTATCGTCAGTGCTCCCTGCCACTCACGTGCAGCCCCTGCACTCTCGCAGCAGGGAGGCAAGCCCCATGTGCTGGAGCCAGGTGTCTTTCCTGCTGGGGCTGCACAGCACCAGAGAGAAACTTCAGGCTCTGGAGCTAGCTGCCTTCCCTGCCTGGGGCTTTCCTGCCCTGCTGCACAGTCCCTGCGGGGAAGACAGCCGGCTCCAGCACCTGAGGCTTCTCTCCAGTGCTGCACAGCCCCGGCAAGGAAGGCACCTGACTCCAGCACATGGGGCTTCCCTCCCTGCTGGGTGAGTACAGGGGCTGCATGTGAGTGGAGGGAAGCACCGATGATACAGGCAGCCGCACAGAGGCTGCACCCCTTGCTGCAATGTGCAGCACTGGCCAGAGCCGTGCCCTGCTTGGCACTTGTGCCCTGCATGCCCTGCCTGCTGCTGCACCATGAGGGTAGTGTGAAGGGGTCCCCACACCCCCCAACCTCCCTCACACCCACACCCTGCCCCCATAACCCCCCACATATACACAACCCCCCAACATACCCTATGACCCACACACACAGCCGCACCCCCTTACAGCTGCCATACCCCACCATACACACCCACCATACACACACACACCACAAATGTACACATCACATATACCGCATGCACATACCTCCCACACGCAGACCACACATACCATATGCAAACCACTCACACACCACACGCAAACACGCTCCCCCCACAATATACAAAACTAAGAATTGATTTTGTGTTATTATGCAATCACTTCTATATACAGAATGCAAACACAAATCATAATGAAAATATTTTTTGTAATAAAATTAAAATATGTTATAGTAGGTGTTTGACTTTTCGTATATGATTTGGTTTTTTTCTCGTTCCAAGATAGTAACCCCCTATTCCCAAAAGGAGTATTCCCAAAAGGAGGCAAGGGGAAGGACTTCCATTAGCAAAGGTCAGGGGTTAGGGGATGGGACTTCCATACCGAAGATGGTGACCAGGGGGTGGGGCAACTGTCAAAGGACAGGGCTACCCATGCAGCCCTCCACAGCTCACCAAAATTCATTAAGCAGCCCTCACAACAGATAATTGTCTGCCCCATGGAGTAGAGTGTTTTATGTACCATTGTTATCCCCATTTTATTGATGGGGGAACTTGAGGCTCAGGGTGGTTCAGTGATTCACCCAGTTAGAAAATGAGTCATGGCTAGAACCAGGTCAGCATTCAAGTCTCTGGATGTAGATCAGAATCATAGCATTGTAGGGTTGGAAGAAACTGGAGGGGTAAGTGGGGCAGGTAGTTCAACCTACTGCACAGCTTCAAGACTGATTTTTCCACTGCACCGCATAACCTCTTGTTCACTTTCTTGAATGCATGAGGAACTATTAACTGTGTGGCTGTAACCCAAAAAGTCCATCTCCAATAGGCCCACATTTATTAGCCCAATGTTATGTTATGCAGCACATAGATAAACATTGCCACTAACAGCCAACACTCTGGTACTTTGTGTGTTACATATTAATGCCAACTTTAACTCTAGTAGATTGGCTTCAGTGGGTAAGGATCCATGAATTGTTACTTTTGAGAGCAACTGCCCCTCGCAATTAAATACATTGTGGGTTAAGGAAGGACTAGATCAAGATCATAAACCAAGCTCTGGTTCCATATGTGGCTGTAGTCCCACAAAGCCACTGAAAACATACTCTTGAAGGAACTCAGTGAGTTTCTTCCTGAAAACCTCCAATGAAGGAGATTCTACAACTTCCCTGGGCAGCTTTTTCCCTTGTCCTATTATACTTACAGTTGGGAATTTTTTTCTGAGATTTCTTATTGTTGACACAGCTATGAATGAGCATATTCCATCACAGTGTTGCAATGTGCCTGCTCTGCATTAAAATATCTTTGTCTTTCTGGTTTGTCCAGGGGTTTGGGCCATGGAGCCTTTGGCGAGGTATATGAAGGCCAGGTGATTGGGATGCCGAGCGACCCTAGTCCCTTGCAGGTGGCTGTGAAAGTAAGTGGCAGGTGAAAAATCATGGTGGTAACATTTTGCCCACTGTTTATCCATGGGTGTCAAGGTATTATAAACACAGTTGAGTTTCCCAACACCGCTGAAAGAGAGGGGTGTGTTATCCCTGTTTTGGAGATGGAAGCCAAAAGTGAGTGGCATGATTTCCCCAGGGTCATTTAGACTGGATAATAATACCTCACTCTTCCACAGAGCTTTCCCTCCAGATATGTAAAGATCCATTGCAATTGGCAGTAAGTGTCATTGTCCTCACTGCTGCAGTGAGAAAAACTTGGGCACAGAAAGTTACCAGAAGTAGTCTAGCTGAGGTAAGGTAGGGCCCTTTCTCAGCAGGATATATCTGTCTGCTCTGGGCTGCCACAGATACCTAAGGTAGCTCGGATAGTTCTCTTCCACACCCCGATCTTCAGTATTGACACCACCACTGTCCCTGCCTTAGCCATGAAATATGTTGCCTTCTTCTCAGTCCTTTGTCCGAACCACCAAGTCTGCTTTCCTCCTTTATATCTTCTGGTGCAGTAGGCACCAAGTTCATCCATAATAAGATTCTTTTTTATTTTTGGTCAAGAAATTAAGTCAACTTAGTTGACCTTACCCACATAGGAAATTCCATGACACAGCCCTTTTTTCCACATGATGGGTTTGCCTCTATTGTCAAGTGTCACCTGTCTAATGTTCCTGTAAGCAAAGCTGACTCACACACAGCTGGGAAGGATGAGCCCTGAGAATCAGGAGGTACTTGAAGGCCCTGGGTAGCTGATTCCATAACCATCAAGCTGTTAAAATGTATAAAAAGCTGTTAATGAGCTGTGGTGATTTGCATCTTGCCTGTGTGGGAAGCCAACTTTCTGTGTTTTTGTGTTAATGATGAGCTGATCTGTGGATGTAGTGATGGGCATCCATGTCTTCTCCATCCTAGCTCAGCCCAGTGGTGGCCCACATTCACATGGCAATGGGTGGTTGTCTCCTCTTCTTTGCCCTCTTTCTTCCAAGGCTCATTTCTACCTCTGTGAGAACCCACTGTATCCCCTCTCATCTGCTCTCTGAACTGTATCCCCACCCTGAAGTCGTTGCTGCGTAGCCATCATCTGCTCACCAGAGAAGGCTGAACAAACATCCCCTTCAGTCCCAGCCACCATCATTCTTCTCACTTTGAAGGAAGAGAATTCAGTACTGAGTGAGAGGCTTCCTGTCCATTATAATGTTAGTGCTTAAGGGGTTAGACCTTCTGAGGAAACCTTCAGCTGGTGAACAGATGCTTATTTCCAGCACAATGGCTGCAGAATGCAGTGGTCAGGAAGAAATCTGTCCTCACCTTGAATCATGCTGTACCCAGTGGAGTCTGTTGCCCACCCCCAGTGAATGATGCATCACCCAATTAATTGTTTGCACTTAAGGCTGTTTCTCTGAAGTATCTCAGTACAGGGTGCTGCTAGAAGGACAGTTGGCTAATAACAAATCCCCTGTGCCTGCTAACAGGTTTCACATCCCAGTCTAGCAACAGCAATATGCTTAGTTTGGTTTGGAGGCATGGATCACAACAGATTGTGTTAGTGCTTTCAGTGGAAGACAGGTCCTACAGTAACCCTTCCCCTCACCTCTCTTTTGTACTTTTTTCTCCAGACATTGCCAGAGGTGTGCTCGGAGCAAGATGAGCTGGATTTCCTCATGGAAGCTTTAATTATTAGGTGTGTTAATAAAACCAAGAGTTTGTGTAGGCAGAGGGCATGATGGTGCCCATGAAAGAATGAAAAGTATAATGTGGGACAGTGTCAGTACAATATACTTGCTGAGTGTGCTTATCCCTTACAGAGCTCAGTGTTTCACAGTGGTATGTGACATTATTCCCCTTTTTAGGGTTTGATTTGTTTTTATTAGTGATGATAAAATTGAGACACAGAAACATAAAGGGCAGAAGATTTCACAGATTTTGAGTGCCTCAGATTCAGTGTGCCTAGATTCAAACACTCATAGCACAGCTTTCAAACATCATTGCTACTCCCACTGACTTCACTTAGATCTTGGCACATGAGAAAAATCAAACCCTATGTTTCTTAGGTTGGACAGCCAAAATCAATAGATGAACCTGACAATATTGCCCTCCGCAGCCCACGAAGTGAGTGAGTGGCATAGTCACAAAACCCAGAGGGCCAAATTTCAATTCCACAGAGACCTGAAAGCACAAAAAGAATTAGGACCTGTGAGACTTTCCCCTGCATAAGTAAGTTCCCATGTCAACATTCAACATTGTGTGTCACTCCTGCTCCCAGCCCCTGGCATGGAGGATGGGGAGCTGGGAGAGAGGTACTGAAGAAAGGGTAAAGAGTGTACTCTGCCTGTTGTCGGCATCCAAGGGTCCCTAGAGTGTGCCAACTCCCAGATGGACCCAAAATATGAGGACCACAAGGTGATAGAAAGCCTCCCTCTCCAGCCTTTACTCCCGCACCAACACAAAGACAACGTAATAGAGAATCAAGGCTGCTGCCTGTAGTCCCAGTGTTGGCCATGGGATCTGCCAGTGGTGATACAGTTACAGGTCATGGCTAACGTAACTCTGTTCAAAGCTGTTCTCTAGTTTAGCATCTCTCTCTCTGCAGCAAGTTCAACCACCAGAACATTGTGCGCTGTATTGGGGTGAGCTTGCAGGCACTGCCCCGCTTCATCCTGCTGGAGCTTATGGCTGGAGGGGACCTGAAATCCTTCCTAAGGGAGACACGGCCCAGACCGGTAAGCAGTTGGGAGAGGGAGGGAAGGGGACCCAATTTCTCTCTGCTAGTATTGCAGCCTCTTTTTTCTCCTCCCAGCCAGCCCATCTTTTTCTAACCATTCTGTTTTACCATTCTCCACAGCTTATTCACCAAGAGATTTCCAATTATTAGAAATAGCTACTAGACCAAAAAAAAAGGTCACATCAAGAGTATTCCTGCCTGACTTCTTAATTACTAAGAAGATCCCAGATACTGGAGCAAGTGCTGCTGCCTCCCCACTATGATAACCCATCTATTTAATGAGTGACTGGAGGTTTTAGAGCAGTGCTTCACCACCTGTGGTCAGTCCACAGGCCACATGCATTCTGCAGATCACTTGCTGGTGGCCTGCAGGAGGATGGCTGGTCACACAGGGTGGGATATTCCTCCTGGTTTCCAGCTGCTTCTACCAATCTGAAAGTTCCCTGAGGACTAAGAAAAGCTGGCACAGCTGATGCTCCTAAAGCCCCCTGCTAAATAGGGGGGAGGAGAATAGAAGCCACCCTCAGGAACTTCAGCCATCAGGATGTTCAGAGGTACCAAACAGCTCCAGGAGAGAATCATGCAGGGAAGATGGGGACAAAGCAAATCAGATAATAGGTTGGTGGGGGGAGTCAAGGAAAAAAGAAGCCAGGTAACAGAGCAGAGGAGGAGGGAAGCCTGACCACAAGGAGGAACAGTACAGCTGGGAGGAGAGGGGGAAGATAAGCAAAGAGTGTGGTTTGATTTTGCTTTTTTTTTTTCAAAGTGCCTAACATTTATCACATGACAGCCCCTTGCTAAAAGTTGCCAGTTCCAATACAGCCTGGGAGGAACTGAAAAGCAAAGGTGGCAGGGTTTGTATTCTAGTTGTGCCTCAAAACTGCAGACATAGGGTAGGACCCTATTGTACAGGCTGCTGTACACACCCAGATATTCCCTCTCCCAAAGAGTTTACAGTTTAAAGGCTTTGTCATACTTTTACATTTAGGATGTGTTAACTGCACTTAAAATGCCAATATTTACATGTTCAAGCAGTAAAATACATGCTAAATGCCAACACCTCATAGCAAAGTTAGGACTTTTCTGCCAAGGAGTATCTTCGGATGGCTTTAACACCTGTTCTTCTGTCGTGGGACTGCTCCATAGAGATAATATGAGCAGTCCTCACTGGCTCCAGTGAGGTGCGGGGACTGCGGCCAACAAGGAGCTGTTTGTCAACCACAAAACTGGCTCCAGCCCTGTCCTGATTGTAAGTGTTAGTAAGCAACTGGTCAGAACAAGTTCCAACTCATAGTAGTGCTTACTGTGGTCTAGATAAAATATGTGCTAAGTGTCCCATACAACAAGGCCCCTAGATCTCAGTTCAGTGTTTGGTATGACACGAGTTCATGGTTTCACCCAGAATTCTTCCACTGAGTTTTATCCCTTTTTAAAATACTGGAAACAGCAACAATAAAGAACAAAACACACTTGGGATGGCATCTGAATAAGTCATGGACCCATTGGGTTGTTTCTGGGAAAGGAGCAGATTAAGTAGTGGTCTGAAGAAGAAGTTGGGAAAAATAAGGTTAAATTTCCTGCCCACTCAGGAAGAAGGAAAATGGTGAGCTGAGTTGAGATTCTCCCCTTGCCTGCAGTGGTGTAAATCAGGAGCGACACCATTGTGTCTGTGTGGTCACACCATAAAACTGATGTAAGGAAGAAGAGCTGCTGGCCCTGCATTATGGAAAAAGAGAACCTGGCTCTTCACTTGGAATGCCCTATACCCTTGGAGCTTTTCCCAGGGACATCAGGGTTACCAGGACACATTGTACCATGAATAACTGAAAAGGCCTGAGAAACTGATATCTCCTGCTAAGGGTAATTGGTATTTAAACAAAAGAGATTAGAGTCCAGTCCCAAGCAGCAAGTCAGAACAGCATGCCGACAGCAGAGCCAAATTTGGCAGCTTGTCTGTATCTTTCTTCTGGCCCTGCATGAAATCTCAGAGCCCATGATGCCCCTTGAATTAAAGAAGAGAAAGGACTTGGCTGTGACACAGATCAAAGAATTTCTTCATTGAGACTGCTAGATACAGAATATCCCTGTATTTCTTCTTTGCTTTCCACCTTTCAGGCTGACCAAACACAGCCTGACATGCCTAGTGTGTGTCTGCATGAGGTCTCTTTTAAGTCTTAGTCTGAATTGAAAATGACTATTGCATGAAAGCTGCATGCCCCCGGAGGCTGGGGAGGCACAGTGACTGCCTGCAATTGGCGGCAGTGTTGGCAGCGGGGGCATGGCGGGTGTGAGCAGGGAGCTCCCACAGGCAGCCATGGTGGTGTCGGTGGCAAGGGGGAGGGTGGCAAGCGCCTACCAGGGGTCAGTGACCACCTACAGACACTGTCAGCAATGTTGGTGGCAGCCAGGGATGATCAGGGACTGCCTGCAGACGCCACCGGCAGTGTCAGCGGTGAGGGGGGGCAGGGTGGCAAGCGACAGGCGCTGCCAACAGCGTCAGTGGTACTTTTTGCAGGGGGAGCACCGCCAATCTCAGGGGATGCACGTGCACCCCCTACGCATCGCCAGTGGGCTATTGATTGTGCTACAGATTCAAATACAGTATCCAGAACTTGTCGACTTGCAGTCCATACCCATGCAAGCAATCTCTAGATTGCAAATGGGGGTTGCTCTTTTTTTTTTTTTCAGCAGCATTTTGTGCTGTGATCCTGTTTAGTGTCCAAGACTAAGCAGGGTCTAATATCTGAGAAGGGTCAGATATGAGGCTAAATCCAGATCTTGAATGTTATGATGAGAAGCCTGTTCTCCACTTAATACCATGGAAAGTGGTGTTAGTAAAACAGCAGGGCCTCTGATGCAGTATGGAGCCAGTGCTCCACCTGCCTGCTGGAGATGCTGATTGACAGATCATAGAGAAGTAGGGCTGAAAGAGACCACAGGGGTCATCTAGTCCAACCCCCAGCTTGAGCCAGGATCATCCCTAGCCAAACCATCCCATACAAATTCATAATCTAACCTCATAGTAAAACTACTATCAACCCTAACACAAGATAGAGCACCCTAACCTGTCACAGGTAAAGTAGGGGAACCACAGTAGCCAATGTCCTGCTTCTGTAAAAGGTTGTTAATATAATGTTGTTAAGATGAAGCAGACACTTTGGGGTTGCAGCCGCTTCTGCTGCCTGGTGGTATGTTTGTTTCAGCTCATTAAATGAGAGAGAGAAGCCAAAGCAGTAATGACTAGCCTTGTAGAGAAGACACCAAGTACATTAACCCTGAACTGCAAGCTTTCTGACCTGGTTCTTGCAGTAAAATAAGCCAGTCACTTCTGATCGTAAAATACCCTGTATCATCACAAGATGGAATCACTGCTTCTCTCTGATCTCAGGGTTTCTTCTTTCTTTGCCCTTCTGCCACTTAAGAAATACTTCACATCAGGGCTTTCATCTCCCCATATCAACTGCAGCTTTGTTCAGCCTTTCTGACAGCAAGCGTCAAGCTCAAGCAGGCAATAAACACCCAGGTGAGGAAACACAGAGGGCTTTGGAAGGTTTGTCTGTGTCGGGGTGGCCAACCTATGGCACATGTGCCACAAGTTGCATGGCCAGCCTCTGTGTGTGGCATGCAGCAGATCCAGGAAGGAGCAGGGAATACAGCAGTAGATAAATACGGCAGAAAGCAGAGCAGCAGTTGGACAGGGAGCACAGGGCAGGAAGCACAGAGCAGGGCAGCAAACAGGGCTGGAAGTGGAGAGCAGAGCAGCATATTGAGTAGAGGAAGGGGATTGGTGTGGCACTCAGGGACCATTGTTGGTTATATGGACTTTTGGTTTCACAAACTCATTCAGGCTCAGCTAGGCAAGACTGTTTGAAAAGGCAAGGAATCTTACTGAGGTGTTGGAGAGGGTGGAGCTTTGCTTCTGGAGGTAAATGAATTATAAAGAGAAATCAGTTTTGGCAGACACCATAGTATGCCTGTTCTGCGTATTACAGGCCTGCCCCATGTTGTTGCCTTTCTTGTACTACTGTTGCCTCTCCTCCTTATTCCTTTTTCTCTGTATTCCTAACCCTCTTTCCGTACCTCCCATTAATTTCATCATAGTTCACCTATCCCCATCATGTTCAGGCACTACATACATACAAAGGAAGCATTCAACTGTGCTGGAAAAATGATGATTCTTCTACCTCTGAATAAGAAACATAAACTCACACTTTCGGTGCAAATAATCACCTGGGGGAAAACAGCATAGCACTAGCTGGCCCATAAAGATCAGGGTGAAGCTACAAGCTTCAGCACCAAACCCTCTCCACAAAGTTCACAGATGCTTGGCCCTGGAGCATTTGTTCTGCCTCATCTCTAGTACAGAGCCTTGTCTATTTTGGAGTGTTACCTTCCTCCTCTGCACTGAGACAATCTTGATTGAGTCAGAGGTATTTAACTACTCTGATCCTTGCAATGGAAACCTTGATGTGTTAGCAAATTGCACAGTTCCCCTTTCTGTGGAGCTCAAAATTCTCTGTTTGCTTTTCTTTGTGAGAAAAGGCTCAATCAAAAGGATGGCTTTGGAAGATAAATAGCAATTTCCCTTCCTTTGTATTTTCCAGCATGTTGCAGAGATCATAGTGATCATACCGAACAATAGTTAGTTTTGTGTCACCTTTAGCAGGGTTGACCCATCTAGGGGAGATGTTCCCTTAGTGCTTCCAGTGTGCCCTTCACTCAAAACACTGACCATGAAGTTTCCAGCTGACTTTGTCCATTCATCTGGAGAGCAAAAGCTGAAAAAAAAAAAGCTGTAAAGTGAATTGCCTAATGTCTCAAGGCTGCTCCCTGGACAAAATGGAACTGAAAAGTTTGTCTTGCTAACAAATTACTCAGCCAAAATTGTCCTTTGATTGAGAAGTCGCATCTGTTTCCACGTAGCCAAAATAAAAAGTCAAAGGAGTCTGTCCAAGGAAGAAAAAGCTTTGCAGTTTGAAACAGCTTTTCCTCGTTTCACCAGCTTTGCATCTTAGCTCAGTTCAGCCCAGTGGATCAGCCCTGAAGAATTAGACATTTTTTATTCACTGCGTCTCCCTGAAGTTGGCTCCTTTGTTCTGAATTTTGATTAGAGGGAGAAGGGATGGATGGATTGTAGAAACCCCTGCTCTCATCCCTAAGAAAAGAGGGTTAACTGTCAGCATCCCTTTGGTTTCAGTCGTTTCACCTATAAGCTCAGTTCTGGTGGATCTCTTGCTAATTGGGACAGTGAGACTGAAAAAGATTCTTCCCCCCCAAAATTGGTCTCATGCAAAAACTTCTGCAACTGACACTGCAAAACAAAGCAAAATAAAAAACCCACACTTTTTTCCTGTGTTAGGGCATGTCTGTAATGTCCATGCATGTTAGCTGTGCTGTGTCTGTGGCTGCTGACAGACATGCAGCTCCCCACAGCACTCTAATTCGTGAGTTAAGCTGCCCCTTCCAATCCAACAGTCTTTTGCTATTGAGTTGGGAGGATGAGGGATTGGGCTCCACTTTGGAGCTGATCCAGCCTCTCTTCCCTAGCCGTGCCCCACCTCTCCCAACTCCTGTGCTGTCTTGGGATGGGAGGGGAAGAAGGCAGGAGAGGAAGGTATGTTTTGGGGTTTGCCCAGCCTGCTCTGGGAGGGGGGAGGGCAAATGGTGGCGGCTCCAATCTACCTGTTCCACCCTCCAGTGCAGACTGGGCAAATCCCAGAGGGAACTCCCTCCCCTTTTTCCCCCCCTCCCATTCTGAAGACAGTGCCAGGAGCGGGGTTGGGCTACGTCAGCCCAGCCCCGCTCCCGGCATACGCTGACAGAAATTAATGAAGGTGCTCTGCTTTGCTGCACCTTCATCTGAACCCTCATGTAATGCTGGTTCATTTGTTGTGCAGTCAGGCACTTTTTAAAGCACTCTGCAGCCATGCACTTCCTTTAGCACACAGCTGTGGAGCATGTTTAGTAGCCAGTCACGTGACAAAACTTCACTTCTGTCAGCACCTTATAGTGACATCAGGACAGTGTACAGGTATGTCTTGTGCATTCTGCTTTTTTCTGCATGAGGTGCAGTGCAGATAAGCCCAAGACCCATCTTAGGCAACAGATGACACTGGGTGATTGGCAATTCTTTGGTAATATATTCAAAGGCACCTTAAAATTGTGTTTTCCCCAACCTTTCCAGGATGAATTGAATGAGCTAGTGCTTACACTTTTCCATTCAGCTACACGTGCTGCAATAGGCACTGGAGCTTGGGCCTTGCCCCCAGTTCCAGTCAGTTGGTTAGGCCAAATTCCATTGTGATTTAGAGCAGGAGGGAAATACGAATAGCATAACCTGGATGTAGAGCAGTGACAGGGTAGTGACAGAGGAGTCTAGAGTCCCTGTTGCTGAAGGAACAGTACCTGAGGATGTGGGAAAAGGGCAGGGCAAAGGGGAAGAGTTGTCAAGATGCCTCTCTTACATAGGTGCCGTGTAGATGAGCCCCATGATCAGCATACAGAGTGCTAGCATTCCTGCCCACAAGCCATGTCCCTTATAAGCAATGCTTGTTCTCCAGGTTTATCATCTAGCTCTGTACAAATGCATCCTCCCTTTCTTTCCCCAGACGGGCTGTCTGCTTCCTGCACTCATACATGAAAAGCCTGCATGAGGAAACAGAAAGAACACTAGAATACAATAGGCCTGGTTTAGCCAAATAACTAAGGGAGTAAATGATGACACCCTTCACATGTGTGTAGGGATTAACACCATGATGGGACTTAGGCACTCAGATATTATGGTTGGTAATGGGCATATCAGAGGATGGCTTCAACTATCAGGGTTACTCAGTAGGAAAAGTAGGATGAAACTGGGTGAAGTTGAAGTCAAGTTAAATATCACTGCAACATTGTAACACCGGAATCACCTCCCAGGAGAAGAGATGGAAGCCCATCTGAAATTAATCTGCACAAAGCAGTGAAGGAGACTATAGGAAGGGTCCTGTTCCCTGTGAAGCCTGAATTAGGTGTTCTTTGGCAATGGGATGTCAAAGCTGCTGATTCTGTGTAAGTAGGTGCCAGTATCTTCTTTTCTTAGCCTACCTGGAAAGGAACCATCTGTGCCAGATAAAAGATAGGTCTGAGGTATTTTTCATCATATTTATATGTGTGTTTAGTATTTGATCCATGTTCCTCATAACCCAGTGGTGACTCAACTGATTTCCTGGCTTGGTGGTAACTAGAGAAGACAAGCCACGTGATGGTCCTGTTCCTAACCATACCTTTCTTCTTGTCTTTTAACAGACCCAGCCCTCTTCCCTTTGCATGCTGGACTTGCTCCATGTGGCTCGTGATATTGCTTGTGGCTGTCAGTATCTGGAAGAAAACCATTTCATTCACAGGTGAGTAAGACCATTTGCTTTTAGGACCTTTCATTATTGGCCCTTCCAGGAGTGGGTGCATAATGTCACATGTGCGTAAGTAATGCTTTCCATCAATATGTTTATGCCCTATTTCATTCCAGCAATGAGGTGCTTTCAAAGGATGTGACATAAAAGCCCAACTCCTTGGAACTCTTAACAGAGACTCCACTTGTTACAGTAGTTTGCTGCTCTTCTCTCCAAATTATTGCCTTGTTTGTTTTTTTTCTTCTGCCTTCTCCCCAGACACTTGTATGTTAAAGTAGGATTCTTTTCAGATACAGTGCTGTGAATGGTCCCACAAGACTGCAGACAACCTTACACAATCTGAATGATGTTTGAGATGTAGCCGGTTCTGTCCAGAGAATCAGGCAAGGCTGTAGAGACATCAGCCCTGTACCTCTTCTCGCCAGGAGTTGTTTCCATGCAGGCCTCAGAGATCTGGCATGCTCATTAGTATTCTCTCCACCTTTTCCAAAAAGGATTTATTTAAAGGACTCCTCAGTGCCAGGATTTCTCTTTCCAAAAGAATTAATTCTAATCTTCCCTGTTACATTTCCAGGGATGTGCTGTGCCTTTGACCCTGGTCCCTTGTGGGCTGCCCTTCTAAGCAGGAAGACCCATACCTAGGCTTCTGTAAGGGAGGAATCCCTCACTTAACCCCTACTTTTAGACTGGGTCCCCAGGTCACAGCACACCTGGTCACCAGCCATGAGCCCTCAGCAGGTCCAATTGAGTTTGGCCCCTGCTTCAGACTTTCTTTGGTGACTTCTACCAGTGGGAAAATACAGTAGAACTTTGTTTTTGCAAGTTGACTTTTGTCATGCTTGTGCCTAGATCTACTCATCACCAGAGTTAGGCTGGCAGATAGTACTTTCTGCAATCTCTGCTTCTGTATCAGCTCTTCATTGTATCCTCCCCTGCTCCCAGTGGCAGTGTGGTGTCCACTTAAAGATACCACAGCTTCCCTGGGCAGTCTATTCTGCTAGCTTATTATTTTAACAGTAATGAGAAGCTCATTATTTTCCTGAGGTCTAATCTAAATCTATTTTGCCATAATTTAAAACAACTGTTTAATTTCCTGCCTTCTCTTCAAGGGAAAACAGTTGTTCTCCCTCTTCTTTGTGGCAACCTTTCAAATATTTGAAAACGGTTGTCATGCCCTCCACCTTAATCTCTTTTTCACTGAGCTAAACATGCTTAGTGCTCTCAACCTCTCCTCATACAGCTTCCCTTCAGCCCTATATCATTTTTGTCGCTTGCCTCTTGACCCTCTCATACTTTTCCATATCTTCCTTAAAATGTGGAGCCCAGTGTAATATTCAAGGTGAGGTGTACCTAACCAGTATCAAGTACAGTAGTACTATTGCCTCCTGTTCCTTATGCCCAGTGCTCCTGCTGATGCAGCCAAAAATACATTCCCTTTCTTGTGACGGCCTTACATTGATTACTTATCTCCTATTGATTAGTAAGTACTAGCAATCAGTTAGTCATCTCTGTGCTCCTCCATGCTGAATTAACACCAAATATTTTATAGAGGAAACCACACCATCCTTGTTGTGAATCATGTTTATTATGACAGTGTTAGGCAAGCTAGGAACAAGGCCCCATCATGGAAGGCGCTGCTCATGGGCAACATGACCCTTCCCCAAGAATCAATCAAAACAGACAAGACAGGCAGAGTGCACAGTATGATGGCAGCAAGCTTCATATTAAGTCCATGATTTGGAGGAGAAAGAGGAAGTTTTACTTAGGGAGGGATCACATAATGGAAAGGAGAGGAAAAGGAGACACTGAAAGGAAGAAGCTGAGGACAGGGAAGAAGTAGATAAGAGGAGCAGGTGTGGAGTCAGAGCTGAGGTAAAGAAAGTGAAGGAAGGGGATGGTGGAAGGAACCAGCCAGCTGGCACAGGGCAGAGAAAGCTCCGTCAAAGCCACAGGAAGTTCTCCAGTGCCCACAGGTCCTTGTTTCGGTGCTTCTTTAGCAACTAGTGGGAGTCTTTTTCCTCTGTAGTCTTCCCACAACGCAGGTAGAAAGGGAAGTTCTATCTCGGGGATCAGCAACATTTTTGGCCAGAGTGCCAAAAACACCCCAACCCCAACCTTGACCCACACCTTGACTTGGAGTACCAGGGGCAGATGGCGGGGAAGCCACGAGGCGCCCAGTCCTCATTGCTGGCAGCGCACCTCTGGGCGGACGGCAGGGAAAGAGCCAGGGTTGCACTGCCCCAGCCCCTTCCCTGCCATTTGCCCTAAGGCACACATACAGCTGCCACTGCCACAGAGCCAGTGCTTTAGACCTCAGCAAAGCTGTCTGCAGACTCCCAGCTACCTGCCACAGTTGACCCAGGCTGTGGGCAGCTGCTGCCTGCCATGGAGCCCAGGCTGGTTGCAGCAGGGCTTGCAGCCTCCTGGCTGCCTGCTGTGAGTAGCCCGGGCTCCATAGCTGGCAGCAGCTGCCCAGAGCCCGGGCTGGATGTGGCATGCCGAGCAAAATGGCCTTGCATGCCATGCTCTGGCACGCATGTCAGGGGTTGCCGACCCCTGTGCTACCTCTTACCTAGCACTCCCCAGAGCAGGGTAGGTCTCTGTGCGGTTCCAGATCCTCGGAGGATCCAAGTGGGGGTGGTGGCCAGGCTGGGCTCCATTTTCATAGACATAGATTTCATAGACATTAGGGCTGGAAGGGACCTCGAAGATCATCATGTCCAGCTTCCTGCCCCAAGGTCAGGAAGTCAGCTAGGGTCAAAGGATCCCAGGAAGATAAACACCCAAAAGTTTCTTGAATGAGTCCAGAGTAGGTGCCTGCACCACTTCTGGAGGAGTCTATTCCAGGCCTTGGGGGCTCGGACAGTAAAGAAGTTTTTCCTTATATCCAGCCTAAAACTGTCATGGAGGAATTTATGACTGTTGGTCCTTGTTATCCCTTGGAGCGCTCTGGTGAACAGGTATTCCCCCAGATCCTGATGTACACCCCTTATGTACTTATAGGCAGCCCCCC